GCCCGCGGCGTGGCAGTGGCGGCTCCCAGCGCGGAGGGAACCGTTCGGCGCTGTGCGGGCCTCTTTCCTTCTCTCCTTCCTTCCCTTCTCCCGCATCCCCTCACTCCCATCTCTCCACTGTCTATGTCCTTCACGGCCTCTGTCCCACCCTACAGTCCATCCCAGCCACCAAGTCTACGAAGATCCTCTACACAGACCCTCACACTTCACGACAGAAACTCCTCCTGGCAACTTTGGTGGAATTATTTCCTCTAGAGACCCCTTTTCATGCATTCCTGAGCCGCCCCCCATCACCATCAACTGGCTGCCTGCCCTCAGTAGAAACCCCGAGTTAATCCGGAAAACGTAGGGGGGAGGACGGGAGAGAGTAGGGATTGAGATTAGGGAGGTGGAGGAGACAGGGTTGGCCCTGGCTGTGAGACACCCAAATTTTCTAATCACTGCTAATTAATGAATAATCCAATTCCGTGGACCCCCAACTCAGGGAAGCGGGCGGGACCCACAGCGGGCAGGAGGGGGCCTTGGCAAGGCTTCACAGTCGGGGTGGTGCCAGGAGCCCTCCCCCACCCTCCCCCCACCCGCCAGCATTCCGAGGTAACAGGCATTTGTTACCCAGCTCGTGCCAGGAGCGATTGGCAGGTTCGAGTAGCACAGTCATTCCGCACACAGATGTCCCTGCGTTCACTCTTCTGATATGAATTCTGTCAGCTCCGAATCCGAGAGAGACAAGCAGACAGCTACACAGACAGAGTCACAGACAGACACAGACACAGCTAGAGCGATTTTCTGGAAGATGCAGAACTCTACAGATATTTTTCTTCCCTGAAAACATTTTTTAAAAAAGAAAGAAAAATAAGAAACGCTCCCATTAATTTGGGGGACACTCCCAGTGCCCCGGTGAATGCCCCACCCTTCCTCTCCTCCTTGTGTTGCCTGTTCAGACTTTTTCAGTGGCCTCGAGAGCCCCACAACATCATTACGTAGCTTCTAAGTTAAATGGTGGCAGACAGAACCTCTGAAGTCAGCGAGGTCTGTCCCTTCATGCGGGACCCTTTTGTAGTTCTAGAAATCCAGCATCCCTGAGAGTTCTAGAACACCACCAAGGTGCAAGTTCCAGCATTCCAGAACCTCTGAAATTCAAAATTCCAGAATTCCCACGAATTGCAAATCGTGCTGAGTGCCCAGTTCTTATATTGCCCTCTTCGTGGGTGAGCGGGAAGTGGGTGCTGTCCGGTGCCCCTGAACGGTTTGCCCTACGTGCCTGGTCCTCACTGGCTGCCTCCAGAACCTTGGCCACTAGCCAACAGTGCAGCCTGCACTTTGATTTAGGAACACAGAAAGGTCAAGGCCCCCTGGCCACTGTCCCTTTCTGACGTTGCCTTCCAGAGCGGACCCCATTCCCGCTCCTGTCCTATACTGGCCCTCCATGCCTGACCTGGCTGTCCTGCCTTTGCCCCTGCCAGCGGCTGCGGGAGCGAGCTGGTTGGTCACTGGGCATCTGTGAGCCGGCTGGGCATGAAGAGCCCCAGGGTTTGGTTCTCCCTGGGCGTCCCGAGCTAGTGAAGGAAGAAAAGGGGGGCAAAAGGGGGCAAAGAAACTGGTCACGACAGAGGAGAGGGGCACAGAGGAGTTTGGGCTGTGGTTTGTGGGGTTGTGTTTTTTAATCTTTCTTACTTTCTTTTTTTAAAAGAAAAAGCCCCCATCCTGTGTCATCATTTTTATGGGATCTGCAATTCTGGCAAAAATCTGTCTTTAATTTAGCTGTCCATATAAAAATCCTCACTGTATAATAATGAACAGATGCCATGGAATTTAAGCTGGAGCCTCGGCTCCTCCCCGCCTTCCCCCCGCGCCTGGCACCGGGCACCGGGCACCGGCTGAGTGGCACAGACTGGCACCAACGCGCGAGCGAAGTGTGGGCAGGGGGCGACCTGGGCTCAGCGCCAGGGCTCTGGGGTGGTGAAGGGGCATCCGGGGGCTGGGGTAGGCCAGGCGGGAGATTTTCCGTGTTGGTACCAGGGGAGAAGTGTCTGCGGGATTTTTCTGTCTTTTTCTACAAGATTATCAGTAGTTTAGGATTTTGGTTTGGTTTTGCTTTGGCTCTTTGTGGTTCTTCTGATATATTTTTTAAAGCACCGCCCTCCACTCCATATAAACCCAAATGTTTTTGATATTTTAATTGAGTTGTTTTTAACCCTCCCCCTGCGCCGCGCCCCAGCCTCGGCCTGGGAGCCTAGCCGAGCGCGAGTTCGCTGCAAGCGGGATCCGTTCTGCGCCAGGCTGGCCGGCAGCCTTCGCGGTATTCCCGGCGCGGGCGCCTCCAGGGGCTCCCCTGCGGCTCCTGGGGGCAGGGGTACCCTGCTGCCCTCCAAGACTGAGGCTGAATGTGGCGTCTGATTGGGAAGTGGGAGAGATGAAGGGAAGAGAGAAAGCCCCAGTGACCCCACTCCAATTCTCACGCTGTTCCCAAGGGAGAAGAAAAAAACTATGTGAGTCCGTTGTCCCCTCCTGCCTCCGCCTGCGGTCAAGAAAAGGGGCACCCGCTCAGGCTTGAGGGGTTGGTTCTGAGCCCCCCACCCCCACCCCTCGCTTTTAATGCGACTCTGGCGAGAACAGATGTCCCAAACCGGGCGAACTGCCCAGACCCCGCCCAGCTGTGCCCTTGGTGAAGACTTGGCTAAGGGTAGAAACTGGCATGCAGGTTCCCAAAGGGGTTCGGGAGTTCCCGCGACTCCTGCGGGACCTGACCTCGCAGCCTTGGCCTCCTGGCCAGCGCAGCCTCAGGCGGGAGGCGGAAGAGACCCGGAAAGACCCGTTCCTAATTCAATTAATTCCAAAAAGAGGAATGAGACGCAGACAGATACGGAGAGAGCCTGAGAGAGAGGTTTAAATACCCAAACACCAGACACACACTCTGGTATGGAACTCCGCAGCCCCCCATCAGCCCGGGGAGACCGCGCTGCGCTCCCGCGCTGGAGCGGGCAGGAGAGTTGGCTGCGCTAGAGCCATACCCTGGCTCACACCTGGGCAGCGTCTCCACCCAACGCTGTACCCCAGCTCCCTGGGCACGGCCAGCGCCTAGAGGTTCCCTCTTCTCCTCCCCTCGGAGCCAGCTTCCCTTCCCTGCACTAGGGAACTAAGGTGACTCCGCTCCTCGCATCTCCTTCCTGAAATCCGTTGCCCTCCTTCCTGTGAACTCAGCCCTGGTCTTGGCCTTCTTCTCGCGTCCACACTCCCAGGGCTGGCGCCCCTGTCCCAGTGCTTTAGGATGGAGAAAGTTTCCAGAGCAGAACAGCCCTCCCAAAGCAGCTGCGCCCTTTCTTACCACTTCTCACCTAGGGAAACTTTGTCGAGAATTTTTAAAGCTGCAGGACAGAAAGGCAGAAGCTGCTTCAGAATTCAGAACCGGGGCAGGGTTTTAAGGTTTCTCACAGTTCAGGTGTCATTTCTGCTCTGGCCCCGTGGCCAGCGCCTGGGTATCCCAGCCCCGAAGGATGGAAAAATGACAGTGTCTTGGGCTGTGAGTTGGGAAGCCTGTTCTGACAGCAGAGGCCCATCTGCCCCTCCCACTTTTCGCAAAAAGCAGCATCCTCCTTTGAGCACACTGGAGCAGGTCAGATGCGGAGTCCCGCGCTGCCCCTCTGTTGCCATGGAGGGGTTGGGAGCATAGGTCAGGCTAAAGCTGCTCAGTCCTGGTTTCTGCCTTCTCTTTCTCCCCAGCTTCCTTAAGGACTAAACTGTAGAATCTAGAACCATACCTTAGTCCCAATCCCCCTCAAATCAATGGCTCCCCTCAGAGCAGGTGAATTCCTGTGAATGATTCTGGGGAAGAGGAGGAAGCAAGGATGCCCAAGAGAGAACGAAATCTCTGACCTCTGCCCAGAAATTCTTGTGTCCATCAGCTTGTGGACTTTCCCATGAAAGGGAAAAAGAGAAGCAGTCACAGCCCCATGGAGCCTCCAGAGTGTCAGGGTTTTCCTGCCACTGACCCTCATGGGGGTCGGTGTCCCCCAGTGATTTATCGGGCTGTTTCCCCGAGTCACAAAATCAGGGCTGGGGGTTTACTGGGAGTCCATGGCTCACTGTCTGAGTCATGGCTGGAACGGAGCTCAGCGGTGAAGGGACAGGAATGGAGCTTAACAGTGAAGGGACAGGGAGTAACTACTTTCCTTCCCTTTCTTGCCAGATGGGCAAATGGCCTGGACTCGGAGATACCTCTTTTTCTGTGTCCCTTCCAAATGCTGGACTTAGAATGGGGGCTGGAAAATCAAGAGGAAGAAGTCCTCCTGATTGAACTTGGATCCAGTCGTCGAATTCCGCGGCCCAGGGGTTGAACTGAGCTGGCTGGTGGGCGCTTGGAGATCCTGACGCTGAGGCTAGGGCAAGAAGGGCATCCTATCTGTGCCTTCTCCCCAGGCCAGGCACTACGTTGGACCCTCCCCTGCTTCTGTTCTTGGAGCAAATCTGGGTGTGTGTGCACAGGCGGGAGAGCAAGCAAGAGAAAGAGACCTGCAAGGGGACGTTTGGGGCCGCATGTCCGCGCACATCATCTTCTCCTGCTCATCACACCATCTCACCAGGGAAGTTGAGCACTGGGGAGGACGGTGATGAGAGGCGAGAGCCAGCCAGAGTGCAGGGAATGTGGGGGGAAGGGTCAGGAAACGGGAAAGTGGAGACTGGTGTGGATGCCGGGATTCACTAGAAGCGGAGTCACTCAGGGAGATTTCTGTCCCAAAAGGGACCCGTGCACCCCTACCCAATGTGATCACAGTCACACAGGCCCAAGAGTGGTCAGCATCTTTCTAGAAGGGCTAGAATCCTGCTTCAAAACAGAATTGAGCCATGTAGGGTAGCTGAAGAACAATGCATAGAAAGAAGTCTGTGGTCTGGCCAGGGGAGCCACATGGAGGGATCCTTTGCTTCAGGCCCCAATCCTGCCCAGCTCTGGACTTCTGAGCAGGTTCTAGGAAACTGGCTGAGTAGGGGAGAAGCCCAATTAACCTTGTTCCCAGGGCAGGATAAGAATCAGGCCTTGGGATAAGTGCCAAGTTCCTTTTCTCTGCAATTGCCCCGCCAGGCCTTGCCCTATGCCATGAGTGCAGATCAGACTTTTGCAGGTTAGGATCTGGGATATGTGCCTTGCTCCACACTCCCTGCAATAAGTGAGGGGGAAGGAAGATGGGCCAACTCCTTTCTCCATGAATAAGAGTGATTCAGAGGTTTATAAGATGCTGAAGACAGGGACACATACGGGGGATGAAGGCCCCAGTCTGTGATCTCACTCTAGAGAGGCGATGTCGGGAGAATTTCAGAGAAGGCAGTGAAATTTTGAAAGAATGCTGGTAAAAATGTTCTGAAAACTGCTGGAGAATTCCGGCGCGGCATTGGAAAGGGCCCCCTGCTCCATGTTCCCCTGGGTCAGGCACATAGACCTCCCTCTGCAGCCGGAAGGAAAGACACTGGGCGAGGGTCAGCACCCCAGAGTGAACAGCTCCTGGCCTTGGCGCCTCTGCTGACTGCCTTCCTGACCACGGGGAGGGTATCCTTTCTACTGGGGGACAGAAAGGGTTTGAGGACAGACATTTAGGGGATGCAATGAGCTCAAGCTCAGAGTATAATTGGATCCACCCTTTGACATGTAGGACTTCCTTCTTCAACAACCTTTCCCTTTCCTGCTTGTCAGGGAGATATTATTTTGGGTTCTTGGACCCAATCTTTAAAAGCCTTTGCACGCTTGACCTTAATCCTCAACCCCAACACTACAAGCTCCATTTCAGCCCTAAAACGAGCCACAGTGTTTGGAGAAATAATTTAAATGAGCAGCATCAGAAACAGCCTCCTTGGGGGACTCCTAAATGTGTTCAGGCTTTAGGATTGGAGTCTTTGGGGCTCAGAACCTTCTTCAAATATTCTAGGACTACAGCGTGCACTGAGCGCTGAGCAGGGGGAGTAGGAGGGGCTCTTTCAGGGAAGTCAGTTAAGAGCTGCCCCTGCCTCTGAGGTTCAGAGAAAAAAGAATTGTGAGGCCGCGTTATCTGAGCAGGAGATACTCATCCAGTGCCTTTCCTCCCTTCTAAGCCCTTAGGGTTCCCTCTGTTCAGAACTGTACCAGGCAGGAAGAAATCAGCCCAGATTTGGATGGGGTGGGCACCTGCTGCCCTGTCCCAGGGGAGAACATGGTTAGGTTCCTCTCTACTGGGTGGGCACTCAGACTCAGCCACCTCATAGACCTCTGGGGGTGTTCCTCCAACCTTGTCGACACCCCTAAAAATGTCAACATTCCTGAGACCAAAATGGCTGATTCCCCTGAGTCCACCCAAACACAACTTTAAGATGAAAAAGGGGCCTCCCGCATTAATATTTCATCTTCATGACCTTATAATTTTTTTTGTTTGTTTAAAAATACCCCTGTCTGGTTCAATGGTTGTCTCTTTGTCTCTGCCCACTTGCTTTTTGCAACAGTGGGCAGAGAGTTGTAAAATGACCGGCTGTTTCCAACTTGATCATTTTTCGGTGATGAAAAGGTATTTTGTTTTCAAGGGAGGTGCCTGTGCATGTCCGGGAGTGAAGAAGTGTAAGGATGTCAGTGCTTTAGTGCTGGGAAGGTGCGAGCCTGGGTTGGGTCCGGGAGGGGTAACTAGTATAGCCCAGTGGGTGTATGGGGGGGTGGTTAGGGCGGGAATCCTACCCAAGAATGTCCAGGGTCCCTCTCTTTGGCCTCTGCACAGTCACTTGACACTCTGCCTTCATGACCCCAGCCCCAGCTCAAATCTTCTCTCCCCGCTCAATGAAATGAGGCCACCGTGAGAAACCGGTCCGGCTTTGCATCTCATTTACATAAATATTTATTAATCGTCATTAAACTGAACAGAAACACGCAATGCACTTCGGGTGTCCGACGGGAGTTTCATCTTCGCTACAAGAGGAAGGTAAAATTGCGTGTGTGTGGGTGAGTGTGTGGGTGTGTCGCCTGTGGGTTTGCATTTTTGCATCGTGTATTTGGATGCCTGATCCCCTGCCTCCGGTGGGGAGAAGGTCTCCTATTGCCCCTTTTTGGGGGAACCTCCAGCAGGAGCCCTCAGACCTCTCCCCGCCCACCCACCAGCTAAAGCCAGGAGGACTCCTTGGACCAAAAAATACTCTCTCCAGACACCGGAAATCGCCCTGCGCCTGGCACCCACCGAGGCACAGTCCGGGCAGGGGTGGGGCTGCCCCCAGGTCTCCATCCCCACCCCTCACCCCAGGAGGGGACAGAAGTGCCCGCGGGGAGGAGGAGCCGGCGAGCTCACCTCCTTCTGCCCCCCCCGGACGTCGTCGCCGGGCCTGTTTGTGCGTGCGGTGTGGTGTGCGTGTGTCTTTCATGCAAACCCTCCCTCCCCAAACCGACCCCCCAACAGTTTGCCATTCCATACAAATTTGGAAACAGGTTTTTAAAAAACAGCATGACGCACAACGGGGACGGGGCGGGGGAGGGCAGTGGCACTGGGGCCCCAAATCTCCGAGTCACTGATTGTAAGAACCTGGGGAGGGGGAGGGGGCGGCGCGGGCCCCCACTTCACCAAAG